TCTTATTCCCCTCCTCCTCCACCGTCTTCTCCGTCTTCTTCGTATTCTCCTCTTCCTGCTCGTCGCTCTTCTGCTTCTGGTTTTCCTTCTCCCTCTCGTTCTTCTTCTATTGCTTCTTCTTCTCCTTTTTCTGCTTCTGATTATTCTTCTCCTTCTGCTTCCTCTTCGCCTGCTTCTTCTCCTTCTGCTTCTTCTTCGTCTGCTTCTTCTCCGTCTGCTTTCCCTTCTTCTTCTCCTCCGTCTGCTTCTTATCAGTCTGCATCTTCTTCGTCTTCTTCGTCTGCTTCTTCTCGGTCTGTTTCTTCTTTGTCTTCTCCTCCTCCCTCCGCTTTTTCTTCTTCTGCTTCTTCATTTACTTCTTCTCCTCCCGCCTCCTCTCTTCCTGCGTCTTCTTCTTCGTCTTCTGCTTCTTCTTCATTTCCTCCCTATTCCTCCGCCCCTCATCTTTCTGCTCTTCTATTTTCTCCTCCCCCTGCTCCTTCGGCTTCGTCCCCCGGCCCATCTTCTTCCACGGTTTCTTTGTCTTCTCCTGATGCTGCTGCTCCTCTTCCCTCTTCCTCTTCTTCTGCTTCGACTGCTNCACGGTTTCTTTGTCTTCTCCTGATGCTGCTGCTCCTCTTCCCTCTTCCTCTTCTTCTGCTTCGACTGCTTCTTCAGCATCATCATCATCATCACCACATTCTTCATCTTCTTCTTCATCTACTCCTCCTCCGGTTCCGTATGACGATCATCCTCTCTATCGTTTGCCTGCGTTAGAGCCGGGTGTATCTCCTCCTGTGGTATCGATAGTTCGTTGGCAGCGGCCTTTTGGGCTTCCAAATACGGTGCAAGTTTGTTTAGATGAGGTTCAACGTTTATTGGTTAGACGAACTCTAAACCAAAGCCAAGCAGATGCGCTGAGAGTCGCTGCAGAGAAAATAATGACGTTTCTGTTGAAGAAACACTGTACCCCTGTCGAGCACATGCTCCCCATCCGAATTGCATATTTGTTGGGACGTCGTTATGTTCTATTAGATGCCGTTTACAGCGCTATACAAGTGCTGGGGGCCCGTCAGGAGTCGATGGACTCCTGGAAGCGGCTGGTTGAACGCATACCTGTGGATGTTACCCTTGAGCACTCCAAANGGAGTCGATGGACTCCTGGAAGCGGCTGGTTGAACGCATACCTGTGGATGTTACCCTTGAGCACTCCAAAAGCTACGGAGCCAGGTTTGAGCAGAACATACAACTCATACGGAGGCTGGGTGCAGCACTAAGAACACTAAAGAATGGGGAAAGGCCCTCTGCACAAGAAACGGTGGAGTTGAAAGCACAACTGCTCTATGTGCTCAGGACTACAGACTTTGGCAAACCCGTATATGACTACTGGAGAGAACTACATGAAGCGTTCATGAGAGGAGAAAGCACTTAAAGAGTAACTGAAAGACACGCTGTTATGGTGGTAATGGTTATTGATGATGTTGGTAGTGATGGTAATGGTGATGATGATGATGATCATTATTATTATTATTGCGGTGATAATAGGGATTATGATGATGATGGTGATGAAGGGACATAGTGAAACAGGTGTAATATATGCGTACACATTGTAAGGGGTTGCGCTCCCATTTCCTTGACTCCGTTTCTTCGCCGTCTTTGGCTTTAATAGGATTCACCAGGTGCTCGGGGCGAATGCTCAGCTGCGGCAAAAGCAGCAGCAACAGCAGCAGCAAGAGTAGCAGCAACAGCGGCAACAACAGCAACAGCCAGAGCAGCAGCAGCAGCATCCAGTAGAATTGTTCAAGATGACGGCTGGCCACTTAAGTGTATCTCAATGCATGCACATTGACCGCCTCCAATTTCGTTTTATTTGATAAGGATGATCATAAATTTGGTCGTCCTTTACTTTAATAAACGCCGCATATTGCGTTCCCCACAAGGTCCCCCTTTAATGCTGACTGCGCCATTTGTCTCTATGCTCGATATTTTGGCTCATGAGTTGCTGCATTGTTGCTCCCGTTGTAGCATCAATGCGGTGCTGGACTTGTGCGGAATTCACAAGTCATTAAACTGTTCGACATTTTTAGATATGACAAAGTATTTGTCTTGTACGTCTGTCTCACGTTTGGGGATAGAAGGAATAAGAAAATAAAGCAGCAATACCTGCAGAATTAGGACATGCAGCTGTAAGTGCAATTACATAGATAAATATGTATGTANTAAAGCAGCAATACCTGCAGAATTAGGACATGCAGCTGTAAGTGCAATTACATAGATAAATATGTATGTAACACTATAATAATAGAGTAATATATAGGTATAATTCTATAGTATATATAATCTTAGATACATTAGCTTATATAATAGTGCAGTAATACGATATTTGCTGCTGTTCGTTAATTTCAGTGAACTACTGCAAATTGCTTCCAACAAATACAGAAGAATATGGTACCTGCCGTTGTATTTTTGTCGGTGCACCGTTTGCAACACCATAAGCAACCACAGCAACGGCAACAGCAACAGACGACAGTACAGCGGTGAAGCAGAAGAGAAGACAGCATTAGCTGGCATACCAGGGCCAGTACTTGCCGTCCTAGCAGGCGAGCAGCCACAGCAGCAGCAGCCACAGCAGCAGCAGCCACAGCAGCAGCAGCGACAGCAGCAGCAGCCACAACAAGAAAGCGGATGCTCTTCGCTTCGGCTGCTCTCGAACCGTCTGATTTCGCAAGCTCGCGCACACCGCAGCGCCAACGACAGCAACAAGAAGAACCGCGGCAGCAACAGGAGCATGCAGATGAAGACGGGGGACGGCTGCTATAGCTACCACCCGCATAGATATCATCAGGGAAATCAGCGAAAACAACAACAGCGACAACAGCACCAGGTGGCTTCTTCCCTGCTCGGTGTTGAGGCCATAGAAGACGAGAGTGAGGAAACCATTTTGAAAACTCTCAGTGTTGCACAGCAACAACTCGTTTTGGTTTCTTTTCCGCTCTGCTTCAGCACTGACAAGCCTGAGTGGAAGCTTTGCCTGTGCAAGTTACTCCTTCGTATGCCTCTTGCATCGACCACACAT